TTGATTTCAGGGATAAGATACACTGTTTTGCTTGTTTTTTGTTCCAGGTTTTAAGGAATTTTTTTTCCGGGCTTGATTTTGAGGAATTTTTTTTTTCTTTTTTTTTTTATAAGTTAGCCAAAATACCCAATCCATGTCCCAAGCAGTATTGACATTCACACATAGAAATTATGTTACTGTGAACAATAATGTTCCAAGGAGTGTCTATTTCTTTATTTACCTGTCAAACCCTATCCTTCTGGAGCTGAGGAATATACTTTAATTGAGACTCTTTTTCTTCCTCCAGAGCATTAATTTATCATGTAATTTTGCAGCTATTTTGAAGTACAGGTTCATGTTCAGTCAATCGCTTTTGCTTAATGAATACTGTCTAAATTTGATCTTGGATCAAAGAGAAACAACTGTACAAAACCTCTCCAATATCCACTGTGTATAAAACAAGAGAAATAACACTTTCCTGTCTTGGAGACATCTCATACAAACACTTCTAGTTTCACACGGGGTTAGGGTCCAACTCCTGATGACAAAAGCAAAGACTTAAAATACTTCTAGTCTGAAAATTCCACAGAGGACCAAGTCTTATTATTATTTACTGTTATTTCCTAGTAACAAGCAAGATCTGGCAGCATTCTTCTGCTATCAGTTAGCATATCCTCCTGAGGGTCAGTGGTCAGTGGGGTCATTGAAGTGGTTGTTCTGCTCCTTTTTCCTTGACAGAGATTCCAGAAGATATTATTGAGTGGTTACTCACCTGTAGGATCAGCTTTGCTTTTTTGTTGTGTCTTGCCAGCACTCTTAACAAACGTGTCCACAGAGATTTCACAGGGTGACTGGGAGTTAGGATGCTGCAGTACCTGACACAGTTCGGTGTAACCATTTCTCCCAGTACAGCTCACATGAGGGATCAGTGGCCAGTTTGCAACAAAGACTGGACCAGACATGAATTCCCACCTCAAAGGCAGAGATAAGGCAGAGGTAACATCTACATGATGTATTATAGATTTTTCCTTCAAATCCTACATCTGCTGCAAGAATTTTGTATGACAGAACTTAAAAGTCAATGTGTCAGTATGAACTGCAGTGGACAAGTAGTGTCATAAAAAGATTTACAGATGAAGAACTGTAAAATAAGCTGTTATCTAAGCCTTTTAAATATTTTTGTATTAAATAAATGGAGATAATATTACCTGTATGTTACATCTATTGCAGGTACCATACTAATGCAAACACAGGTAACATTAACTTTGGTGAAAGGAACAAAATTCCTTTTGGGGTTGCTCATCTTCTTTGGACCTGCAGTCATAGTCAGACAGAGACAGAAAAAAAGAGAGAATTCCTGCTTTGGTTCAGTGCATTGTTATCAGAAGAAAAAAGGAGTTTTGCAAATTTGAAACCTGATTTCTAGTTATGGTTATGGTGAATCTTGGACCACCCCAGCTTTAAATTTTCTAAACATTTCATTTTGCTTTATGGTTATAATGTTTAGAATTTGTTACTAGTCCTAGTAGCTGCTGATCTACTTATTTATGTCCTGCTCCTCTGTTTACATTTCATTCTATCAGTTAAACTTAAACCAGTTCACACAATATGTCAGAAGTATTTTGTGTTAGAATTAGATTTACAGGCTCAACAATTTCATTATGATTGCTCTGAATCTGCAGCAGCTGTAGCAAATCAAACTATGGTTCACAGACTTCACATAGCAACTCACAATTAATTTGTAATTCTTTTAATGGACTTCTTTACTGTGCATAAGGACTGCATATGTTCACAGCAAGCCTTTCTTCCCCCTTTTAAAAAAAACCTCATCATCTTTCTCTTTAGGATAGTGTAATTATAGGGATTCTACACTGGCAATCAAATATAGGGTTTACATTTGAATTTTCAAACTGAATTTTCAACTCTTTACTTACAGGCATGCTTTCAGGTTTTTTTTATGACTTATCTGTCAGCATTTATTTAAATGGCAATTACACTACTGAAACAAACTCAGGTTTGACAGAGATCTGTTGTATTTGCCTTATTAAATAGAAAATAAGGAGCAAACCCACCTTGTTTACTCTTCAGAGACCCTTGTACTGTACTACATGAGGGCTCCACAGCCCTGAGGCTTTGTACTGATCTAAGACTGAATCCTAATATTTGAACATCTGAGTTGCCATCCTTCTACCTACTGTTTGAAACGGTATAGGAAAAAGTCTAACCCCCTGGGGCAAGACTGTGTACCTATTAAATTGAAAAGATGCTGAGGTATAGAGCTTGACTGCCTTGCCTGAGGCCACACATTTCTCTGGGGTTGAAATTGTGTGTACCTTTCCTCCACTTTCTTTGCTACAAAACTTGTTGTGTAAAGGTGTTAGGGCTTGCAATCCTCACACAGCAATTTGTGAGTTATAAAGAGAGGATTCACCCTGTGAGAACACAAATTTAGGGGGGAAAAAAAAAAATCTATCTTCTGCATGTATCTATATGTGAATTTTCCTTTTCTATTGTTAGGTTGAGTGCAGGCATCTTTCCCCATGCTCAGCAGCCATTCCCAGATTTCTTGCTGACAGCAAAGCTGAGCTACAGCTGAGCAGCAGCTCCAGCTTCTGCCTCTGTGCCTTTGCCCCAGCCCTTCCCTCGGCAGGCAGGGAAGGAGCCTGAGGCACCCACACAGCCCACCCTGCTTGAGAGTCAGATTTCAGACAAAAAAGCCTTGTCCTTGGGCACAAATCTGAAAATCAGCTTGTTTGGTTATTTCTGACTCCTCTGGAACTCCAGCCCTGGGTCACGTTGTGTTTGTGGAGAGCCAAGGAGCTGTGTAATGGCTGGGATGCGTGGGGTTAGAAATGCAAGTGAGTGCATGCAAGCTCAGGTTGGTGGGGGAATTGCCCTTATTTGTATGTATTTGTTTGAATAGACCTGCTGCACCCTACATCTTATCTAAAAACAAAACAAGGCCAATAGCTTCTAGCAGCTCCCTTGTGCTCCCTCCTCCAGCTCCCTTTGCCCAGCTGGAAAATGAAAACAGAACTTTAATGTTGGGGAAATTGTTTTGAATTTGCCACACTAACCATTTTGGTAGCATCCCAGGACAACCAAAGTGTACCTATTCAGTCTGTTAAACATCTCATATGCCAGCTGAAGCCCAAGAAAAGTAATAAATAACACCATATAGCAGCTTGGAGAGGAGTTCTAGAGAGAGACAAGATTTGAGATATTGCATTAATATTTGCTTTACTTGCTGAATATGGTTTTAGCTTTCATAGTGTGAGCTCACATTTGGATTTTTGTGTCCTTTTTGAAAATACGTATCATAAATAAGAAAAAGGATTACCTTTTACACAACAAGATCTTCCAAAGAAAAAATTCCATTTGGACTACCTCAGAACCAAAAATGTTTACATTTTTTAAGCTTATTATGACAGAGAATGAGTCTTTGAGATATGTCTTAATTGTACATTTGTGGGGTGGTTTCGGTTTTATTTTTTTTTTCTTTTAGGAAAAATGCAAATCTTTCAATAAGAGCTCCCAGTGTCACAACCAAAGGGGAGTCTTCACTAAACTTAACAGGCACCAGATCATGCTGCTTTACAGCAGATCTTAATGGTCAAAGGCAGAACACCTGTATGCCCCAGTAGCACAGAAAGGTGTCAAGAATAACAATCCCATTAGGAGAATACAAACTCATCCCTGCTGTGGTCTATGCTTGCAGACAGAGCCTGCGTCGCCTTCTCCACTGACAATATCTCCAGTACCCATGCTGAGCTGCTCCCAGACAGTTGGCACATCAGCATAAAATCCACTGCAGCCTGCAATTGTGTGCAAGAATTGGAGCAAATAGCTGTGTGATTTAGCTGGTGCTCCCGTGGTTCAGCTGCTGCTGGCACAGCTTCCAGCTGGTTCAAAGCAAGCCCAGGTCTGTGTACATGACCTGCTCCTGGACAACTAGCAGGTAGACATGACCTGCTCCCTGCTCCTGATTATACAGCAGCCTCCAGGAGTCCTTGGGCACTCTGATGATTTACTTCTGTCCTTTCACCACAGCTGCATTTTTTTTTTTTCCTCTGTCCTAGTAGTTCATATATTTTATTCTTCTTGAACAGATATGTCCTCTCCCATCCATGTATCCTGCTATTACATTTATTAGCATTTCATTATATTATTGTTCTGGTTCCCTTTGAGTTTGCTGGCATACAGACATGTCTTATTAAATCTTTCTCTCCAGATATTATTATCTCTGGTTGACTACCAATTTTTTTTGAGTGCATTATTGTCAAATGCATATATTAGTTTTCATTTTCCTTTCTTTGTGATTCTTTTTCTGTAAAAAACAATGAGAAGTATAAAGACTTAACATGATTTCAATGCTTCATCCTATTAAAATAGTGCAATTGTTAATGTCTAAAATGCACCTTGCATAATCCGAAATGATTATATGCATGAGATCTTAATTACAGAGAACTTTATTCCTTAATTAATTTATTCCAGACATCTGTAGTTTTGATGTATAAAAACCTAGTTCTTGCCATGGGTATATTTTAAGTCACACATGCAAAAAAGAGATGAAGTTTTCTGGTACTTGTTAGCAGTGTAAGAGGTAGCTGCTTGGCACTTTTAAATCTGATGCTGTTAATCATCACAGTGCTTTGATCAGGCTTTTATATTTTTTTAAATACTGTCCAATCCTACAGGCATCTATTCAGATAAATAACTTTACTGTCATATATAGGTGACCTCAGGTTCCAGACTCAGAGACATTTAAAATGAAAAGGGGAGAGGCTACTCTGTAAAAGCACATAAGAAGGGGAAGAAAAATGTAAAAAGCAGATCCTTTTTCTGTAGAATGAGAAAGTGTATACAGCTAGACTCTTTTTACCCTGATCCACTTAGGAGCATGCTGTTTAACGACACTAAGTGATAATGTACTTAAATGGTTAATGCAAGGGTTGATCCTCCTCTAAAACTGAGCTGGGAACAAAAGCTGAAATGACTTTTTGAAAGGGAGGGACAGGAGGAATTCTGACCCTTCTCCTGGCGTTTTACAACGCGAAACCACAAAGCAATTGAGGAATCGGTGCACGGCACGTGGATGAAAACGCTTCCCGGAGCAGCCAGTCCTGTGCATCGCCTAAACCCTCCCTGAACTTTCCAGCGAATACAGCAGCCTGGCAGCCCGGCTTCCCGCTGGGTGGATCCTGCAACTCCAGCAGGGAATGGCACTTCTTGTTTTTAATTAGCAAAGGTGAAAGGTGAATCAAAGCTAGCTTTTGGCAAGTCAGAGCAAGGGGCTGAGTTCTGAGGAGCACCAAGGAGGAGGGTGCTTTCTCCTTTTTTCCGTGGTAGATTTTTTTTTTTTTTTCCCTCCCTCCTTCTCTGAATGAATTGCCTTGCAGGAGGGACTGAAAATACAGCTTCTTCCTGAATCCACTGGCAGAGTTACTAAAGACAGCTCAAGACACAACACTGCAGAGTAACGCCTTGGAATGTCCTTGCACTTTCTAAACAATTGTCCTAGGGAGGGAATATTTTTACATGACATTTGCGCAGCTGAGGCTGTGTGCTGCTCTGATGAACGCTGAATTTCCCACAGAGACACCCCCCAAAGTGACCAAAGAGAGAGACCTCACTGCACTGGCAAAGTGGAAGCTGGAGCCTTAAAAGCACCCCAGCAAAACAACAAACAAACAGCAGCAGTTCAGTGAAGAGAGCGAGAAATTGATCTTGGGCAGGATGGCATCTGCTCAGGACCTTCTAATCCTGGCGCTCTATGGCTTGTTGCTAGAGCCACCGGCTGGATGTCGCGCAGCAGATACGAGGCAACCAAGGTTACGTCTGTCACACAAAGGTAGGTCAGTGTGTCAGGTTTTTTAACACTTTGTACTGTGCAAGTTCACTGCCTTCACTGAATGTATTGTATCGGGATTAAATAATGGCACTTTGACAGAGTAAAATGTTCCTGTTCAGAAATCTTGTGAATTGTTTTCTTGTACTGAACTGCATCCTAGATTAAGTTTACTGAATTCTGGACAACTTAAGGTACTTGCAGTGATGATTTTAGACTACTGAAATATTCCTCTACCTGAAAGCATGTTAGATTTGCATGTCATTCTCTCTTACTCTCCATGCTGTAAGAAGGATGTTAGGTCTCTTATTAAGAGGGAAAGAAATGGAGAAGATAACCTGAAATTATTGCTGAATAAATGTGCATCGTGTAACCCTTGAACAATTAAATGTCTATTCACTTTTTGAATTCTATCTGTCTACAAATATAGCTAAGGCAAAAGGACTGAATTCCTGTGCAACCATGATTCATTTTCTAAACTAGCAAGTGCCATCACACTATAATTAAAATGAGTACCTGCCAATGTAAGTCTGCTTGCGTTTAACTGAGCTAACCAAAGGAAAAATGTTATTTTTTCTGATATATTTATGTAGAATACTTATAACTTTTATTTTTGCTTAAAATTATTTAAGTCTCAGTTATCTGAAGGGTGAACAATTCTTCCTTATCTCCTTCAATGTCTCTGTTCTGTTCTGGATTGCATGTGATTTAAACTCTTCCCTATGATTTGGGTTTAATCATGTATATATATATATAAATACCTGTTCATAGCCATGGCATTTCACTTCTCTGAAGCAGGACATACATCTGTAGATTATATACTTAGACAGGTATGACACATGGTCATTGCAATAGGAGAAAGAAATGTAATTGTCCAAGATAAAGTGATGATTGTCTAATCAATAATGTTTGGATATTACCTCTTAGGCACAGATGAAAACATAATACTTTTTTTGCTGACATAGTTGGAATGAGCAAATTCCAATTTACTCAAGAGCACTTCAATGGTTATGCAAGTGATAACTAAGCTGCATTAGCGTGAAATACATTAAAATACCTATTTTAAGAATGGCTAAGTTTTCAGAATTAGCAGCATCTAGAGGTCTATGTGTATACAGCTTTACTCCTAACAAGGTTTAAGTGTGTTTTATATAGCAAGCTGAATTACCAATTGTAATGAAGGGAGAAGCTGAATAGGATAATTGGTCCAAAAGTCTTGCTAGGAAGCTATAAGAAATGGGGTTTGCTTTTATAGGGCAGTGAAATGTTTTGGAGAAAAAGTATTTTTCATGGAAAGCTGTCTTGTAATAAACAATTGCTCTGAATTAAATAAATTATATGACCCCTTTTAACATATAGGTTAAAAGAAAGGTGGTTTATGGTTTCAGAGTACAGTAGGAATAAGTGCCAAATGCTGATTGTATAATCCTTTCACATCCCTTATTGAAAATGTGCATTTAAATATTGATTTATTTCTAGATGTGACTGCTAGGGCTATAATTATTATTGATATTTGTTAGCTTCTGATGGGGTAAAGGGGATGAGAAAAGCACAGTAAATGAGACAAATAGACCTAGTGTTATGTTGGTTCAGGACTTTGGCTTAGCTGACAATTTTGGCAAGCTCCCCACTATGGTGGTGTGACTTTTAACTGCTTCTCTGCTCACTTGTAGTAGTTATTTCTTTCCAGTGGTTGGAACTAGTGTGCATTTCACTGCATACTACTTCTCTTTTCAGCAGTGAGCCAGTAATTTGGCCATAACACTTCATAACTCTGCTATCTTCAAAGAGATCTTAAAACATCCATTTCTTACAGAGGGCCAGACCTTACCTGCCTGATGGCAGTTCCCTGAGATCCAACAACACGGAAATCTGTGTCCTCATAAATTCCCTACTGTGGTCACACACGTCACCATCTTATACTTCACTTTGTACAATACTCTATCATGTTTTTCACACTTAGGAAATGTGACTGATTTTACAAGCAGTGTTGCAGTCAGGGAGTGCCTGACCACATATCCCCAGCCAAGGGTTGGAAATGGCATACCTGCCTGCCACCCTGGGAACAGCTACTGCAGCCCTCCCAGCCAAAAGAATGTAGCGACCAAGCATGAAGACAATGAGCAAATGTCACTGCTGTCCTCACTAATCAAACAGGAACAGCAGGAGGGACCCTCCTCTGAATTGTATTTGCTCCAGAGAAAGGCTGCTGTGGGTACCAGAGAGGTTGGGGTAGTTACAAGGAGGTGGTCGTGCACCCGCTGTATGAAGGTGCTGCTGCCTGTCCTGTGTGTTGCTGTTGTGGCACAGGGGATGGAGCCCATATGTTTAAATTTTCAGTGTGGACTAGCTGCAGCCTCAGATAAAAAATTCACTGCAAAGAACCTGCAACATGGAAGTTAGCAGGCCTGTTGCCTGCCTCTCTTTGGAACTGCAGGTGTTGGTGGCTAATTGGGTTTAGACCCTTGCAAGATAGGCCAGTGCTGACTGGAAGGTTAAAAACTTCTGTGATGAGTATGATGAGGTTATGGACATCAG